ATATATATATATATATATATATATATATATGTACCGCAGCAACAGCAACTCACCAGATCTGCTTTGCTTCTCTGCCTCTGCACTTTGTATTTCATTTCTTTTTGATTTAAAATATAAATTTTGTCCGTGGCCGATAACAAATGCAATTTTCCCTCCGTTCTTTTCTATTGCGCCCGCATGAATAGCTGCCTTGCAGATCTACAAACAAAATAATAATAATAGTAATAATAGTAATAGTAATAATAATAATAATAATAGTAATAATAATAATAATAACACAATGACAGTAACGATAAATATGCATATATATAACACCAAGGATGTAAATAATAATATTAACAGCAAGGGTATATAATAATAATAATAATAATAATAATAATATTGCATGCATAATACAATTAAACAATAATAACTTATTATATAATTTAAGCTGCTTACCGGCGAGTCTGCGGTGTATATAAAAGTGCCGCGAATTTCCGCTTGTTCTTCGCTGCATGAAATAACAATGAAGCGTCATTATTAATGCAATTGAAGAAAAGATGCAGTTATTGCTATTACATCCTTTTGGTTTATTTTATTATTATTATTATATTATTGATATTACCACTACTCTTACCATTATTATTATTGTTATTGTTATTATTTTTATTGTTATTATTATTATTATTGTTACTATTATTATTATTGTTGTTATTATTATTATTACTATTATTATTACCTGCAGCCGCTAGGACAAATCCCCAAGAAGACGGCCCCTGGGCGTGCTGCTGCAACTCCTTTTGTCGTTGCGAGTTTGTCTGTACAGCTCAGTTCAATGAACGAGCGATATTTTCGTTTAATAACATCAGGCAGGTCTTCTTTCTTTAAACCCTCAGCTCCACTGAGGCCTCCATTGCCTTTGCAAGAGACAACGATGTCTTCACTGTGCGCACAGTATATATCCGACTTCGTCTCGTGCGCGCACTGGCGTAAGGATCTCTCGTCTCCTGATAATTCGCTCATTCAACAAATAACTCCTTTGATGATGCATGCAAGAGCAACAGCAGCAGCAGTAGCACTGGCAGCAGTAGTTGTAGCAATAGCAGCAACAGCAGCATACGATGCACCAGCATCAGCAGCAACAACAACAGCAGCAGCAGCAGCAGCAACAGCAGCAGCAGCAGGATACCTTGGCATGCGACGTTGACCATATGAATCGGTTCTTCTTGCAATCCGCAGAAATTTAGGCCGTTGATATTTTCGCAGCTTTTTCCGGAAATGCCTCCTTCCTATGATTTTGAATAAAAATATATTAAACGTATGCATGCAATAAACAAAGAAAAAGAAAACAACAAACTGCAGCAAAACAAACAAACAAAGACACTCACCCTCAACCCCTCGTAGCCCATCTGCATGCACGCCACCCGCTCGGACTCCTTCGTCCAGCCGTCGTCGCAGATGCTCCCCCAACCTGCAGCAGCAAGCATTAGTAACAGTAGTAGCAGCAGCAGCACCAGCAGTAAAAGACAACGGGAAACTGCAGCAGCGAAAGACAGCAGCAGCAACAGCAAGCGACAGCATCAGCTGCAATAATACGCAATAGCAGCAGGAAACGCCAATAATAGACAGCAGAGCAGCAGCAATAGCAGCGAAATCCAGCAGCGGGAGAAGAACTAGACAGCCTCAGCATCAGCAACAGCAGACAGCAGCAGCAGCAGCAGCAGGAAAAGATAAGAGGTAAATCTGCTGACCGTCTCTGTATACCTGAAGCCTCCCAATACCGTCTAATGCGGGGGTCCCCATCTCATTAACAATTCGCAGCGAACCGAAGATTGGCTCAGCCGGCGGATTATTTGAACACCGCACGGCGACATCAAAGCGATGATCGGCGCACTGAGCCGTCGCCTCTTCAAATGTGCAATCGGTTAATGTCTTCTCAGGCCCCAGACACTGAAATATATCTCCATACATATGCGGAAAATTATATATCTATCCATCCATACATGCATGCATCCATGCATCTATCCATGCATGCTTGCATGCATGCTTGCATGCTTTCGGGTGTATAGACAGATGGTGGAGAGCAGCAAAACGTGAGCAGCAGCAGCAACGGGGGCGCGGACGCACCATGATTCCTGTTTTGATAGACGATATCAAAGCGCAAAAGGAGTAAAGAGTAAAACCAGCAGCAGAAATAAGAGAGAAAAAGCAGAAAACACTCACCAGCTGCTGCTACAGGATAGTGCTGCCCTGCGCAGACGTTGTGCCCGTCCAGACTCAAACAGCCGTCTTCGTGATACATCCCATGCAAATAACCTAACAACAGCAACAGCAGCAGCAGCAGCAACCGCAGCAGCAGCAGTTGATGTAAATGAAGAGAAGCAGATTTAAAAGAATTTTCAATTGCTTACCGATTTGTTGACATGCCTTGCGCGCTGAGTCCTGTGTGAACACCATGAAGTCTCCTTGTTTGCTGCAGCAGCATTTGTTTGCATTTATTTTATTTGCATTTCCTCTTTTTGTTTATTTCTAATTATGACAAACCAAACGGTACCCCAAACGCCTTCTCGACGAATCTCCAGGCGCCCGCTGGCCGCCAACTTCCCGTGCGCTGAGATTTGCAGTTAAACAATAAATAAATAAATAAATATATATATATATATATATATTTATATGTACATATTCGTGCGTGTGTGCATACACATATACATATATGCATGCATATGTAAATTTACATAAAAAATAAATATACATATATATATATTATATACATACATATTTTATATATAGATTTATTTATTTATATATGTGTAGATGTCCAAATACATATACACATATACAAGTATATGTACACATATATATTCATTTATACGGATACACATCTATGTACATTTGTATATATATGTATATATATAATATATATATGTATATTTGTGCATTTTCTTGTTTGAATATAAAAGGAATATAAGAAGAGAGGCCGCATTGACTGACCGTCCACCACGCGGACATCGCCGACGATATCGTCGATTGAATCTGATAAACAAATTCAAATTATATTTTCTGCTGCAGCAAGCCGCGGTTGCTGCTTCAGCAAACGCAAACACACCGCTGCTGCATAGACTGCAGCAGCAGCAGCTGCAGCAGCAGCGACAGCAGACGCACCTCGGTCGCACAGACAGCAGCAGCAGCAGCAGCACAGCAGCATCAACAGAAGCAACAACAGCAGCAGCAACAGCAGCAGCAACAACAGCAGCGACAGCAGCAGCAGCAACAGAAAACACACCACTTCTATACAGGAAGAAACTGAAGGTAGAGGTCCGAGCTGCTGGCGACATGGCGAAGACCTGGGGCTCTGAAAAAATAATTCAAATTCAACCACTAGCTGATAGAATATAAATTTAACTATATATTGTTGAGGATTTTCAATAATTTATCATTAACAATACATCATATAATATATAATATAATTTTTGATAATATATTATCAATTGTACATTAAGAACAATGCATTATTAATAAAATATTGTTGATAATATGCAATTAATTTTCTATTGTTGGCAATGCAATACTTACTGAATACTATTGTTAGGATTCTATTAACAATATATATATATATATATGCATATATTATATAATACAGTAAATAATATATCAAGAATATATTATATTGCTGAGGATATACTGTTGAGAATGTACTGAAGACATATTTTTGATAACGTTTTGCCGGTAATACGTTATTATTATTATTAGTATTATTATTATTACAAAATATCATTATTAATTGTACGCTAGTGATGATACATTATTGATTATATATCACCGATAATTTATTATTGATTATGTGTTCCTGATAACGTATTATAACTATATATATATATATATATATATACATATATGATGCATTATTATTACTACTATTTATAATGTACGTATTTTTACTGCACTCCACAACATATTGCTGGCAGTTGTTGCTATTTGTTTTAATAATATACTCTTTATATTTCCCCATGCCTGTTGAATATTACTAAGCGCGCTGCACGTATTCATGCTTATTCATTCGAAGCTGCATCTTCACGAATAATGAAAAAGAAAAGAAGAAGAAACAGAAGACGAAGATGGACAAGAAGAAGAAAAAGACGAACAAGAACAAGGCAAAGAAGAGCAAGAACAAGAAGAAGAAAAGCAAGAAGAAGAATAATAATAATAAAAAGAAGAAAAAGAAAACGAAAAGGACAGAGAAGATTGCTTCTGTCTCACCTGCACCCGGTTTAAGAGGAGGTAATCCTGCGTATTGTGGAAGAGGGCCCACTACACTGACAACGAGAACTCCTCCTGTTGACATATTGCATCAATAACGATTAAAAACTGATTATAATAAAGAAAGAAAAAAAAAAGAATAAAAAGGCAAATGCCGGGAATCGAACGCGGTACCTGAAGCTGAAGCAACGCCATCATGTTCTGCTGCAGCACAAACCGAAGAAGAAGATGGATGAATTGAAGCCCCTTCAGTCACTGCAAACGAAGCCGCTCCGCAATTCATCGGACATCGAACTTTAAATGTCTCCAGTTGCTTCGGCGCTCTGCAGCAGCAGCAGCAAATCAATCAATTGTTATAGAGTCACGCCTTCATAAATCCTTCCAAAGAAAAGAAACTAAGCATGCATGTATGCATGCATGCATGCATGCATACATGAATGCAAAAGAGCAGAACATATACGAATGCATGCATGCATGTACGGATGAAGGAAAGCGAAGACATGCATGCAGAAAACCCCTCATGGAAAGAAACAAGAAATGCATGAATGCATGCATCTCTATTCAATTATTTCTTTGCATGCATGAACGGAGGGGGCCGGAAAAGCATAGATAGATAGAGGTATATATATATATATATATACATATATATATACATAGAGAGAGAGAGAAGAGTGTTGATTTAATGGTTTAACATATTTGCATAAAATGAATGAAAATGGTTGTCTCACAACGAAACGAGATCAGATCCTCTGGTATTGCACTGAATATCTTGCGGAGCTGCATCTGTATCTTTAGAAGGTCTAAGGGTGATGGTAACTGCAGAAAGAAACGGCGAGCCGATCCATCGTTTAACAGAAAAAGATAGGGGGCTTTCGCTCTCTGCTGATATTCGAACGCTTTCGCAAAACCACGGGTCGTCTTCAGCAGAATTGTGCAGTAAAATAGATTCAATAGAACCAACTGAAACAGAGACAGTAATAAGAATAAAGATAAGACTAAAGAAGAAGAAACAATATCTGTTGTGATTATTAGGTGTAACGATTACAGTTATGATATTCAACATATTAATGCTACTACTATTTCAATGCTGTTGCTGCTGCTGTTGCTGGTGGTGCTGTTGATGTTGCTGTTGATGTTGCTGTTGCTGCTGGGGTTGTTGTTGTTGCTGCTGCTGTTGCTGTTGCTGCTGGTGTTGTTGCTGCTGTTGCTGTTGTTGTTGCTTGTGCTGATGCTGTTATTTGCTGTTGTTGCTGCTGTTATTGCTGCTGCTGTTTGCTGTTGTTGTTGCTGTTGTCGTCACTGCTGTTGCTGTTGCTGTTGCTGTTGTCGTTGCTCCTGCTGCTGCTGCTGTTACTTCTGTTGCTGCTGCTGCTGTTGCTGTTGCTGCTGGTGTTGTTGCTGCTGCTGTTGCTGCTGTTGCCGTTGCTGTTGCTGCTGTTGCTGCTGCTACTGTTGCTGCTGCTACTGTTGGTGATGCGGTTTTTGCTGCTGCTATTGTTGCCGCTGCTGCTGTTGTTGCTGTTGCTGTTGTTGTCTGCTGTTGTTGTTATTTATGCTGTAGTCGACACTGGATGTTTATTACATTTTCCTATTTGTACATCACCATCAACCGATAACTCTATTATCCTTCCACCGATAACTATAAATAAAACGCGTTGATTATTATATAATAATCATCACATAATATTATATTATATTCTATTATATTTTATTATATTATATTATTTCTTGCTCTTCTCACCGTCTGCCCCTCGAAAAGATACAGCCGCTTCTTCTCCTGGCTTAACTCCCTGCAGCACTGCCTTTGATTCCCCGCTTCGATTTTCTCCGCTTATTGTCAATTCAATCGATCCAATGGTTCCCGCTGATTGTAAAACAGAGGAATGCATGCAATTATTCAGATCAACGGTTCAGGGTTTAGGGTTTAGGGTTTAGGGTTTAGGGTTTAACGGTTCAGATTTAGGGTTTAGGGTTTAGGGTTTAGGGGTGAGAGGGTTTTGATGCAGCGGTCCGGAGTAGAGGATTTGGCTTCAGCCTTCAGGGCTTAGCAATTATATTCAAGAGGTAGTGTTTAGGGTTTAGGGTTTAGGGTTTAGGGTTTAGGGTTTGGCTCACCGTGTTCGTCGTTTCCGGTTTGAATGACGGCTTTATAAATTTTATTTCCCGAGAGTTTGAACGTCTGTTTGCAAATAAAGCGATGAAGAAAATTATGGTGTTATTACTATTATTAATATTATTATTGTTATTATTGCTGTTGACATTATTATAAGCACCATTAGTACTATTATTGTTATGATTATTTAAATTATTACTACTATTATTATTATTAATATTTTTACTGTTGCTGCTGTTATTATTATAAGTATTACTGTTATTATTTCTATTATTAGTTGTTGTTGTTGTTGTTGGTGTTGTTGTTGGCATTGCTTTTAGTGTTGTTATGAATAGTTATATTGTCGTAGTTATTATTTCTGTTATTATTATTATTTTTTTATTAATATTTTTATCTTTATCATTATCCTTACCATTATTAACATTATTGTCATTGCTAATAATATTGTTTTTACTCCTGCTCTTATGTTTATTGCTTCGTTGTTTTTATTATTTGTTGTTATCTTATTTATAATTATAATCACTTTAACTTCCATTATCATTATTTTAATTGCACTTGTAATTATAACTGCGTGACGTAATAATCATTGGATCAATAATGTAAAATAAATAAATAAGTAAATAAATAGATAAATAACATATATAGATAGACAAATAAACAAGTAAATGCATATTTTATTGATATAAGAAGAACAACACGAATTACAATAGGGCTTTAATAATAGATAAATAAATAAATACATATATACGTATATATATATATTTATTTATTTATTTATTCGGTTTACATTAAAATATAATATATAATATATATTATATATTTTATACATTTTATTTTAAATAGTGTATGTACACCTACAGCTTCTCTTCGTTTGCTATGAAGACTGCCATTGCAATCAAAAATCCAAAATCGAAAATCTTTAAAAATGATAATTCTTCTGCAACTCCAAACACCGCTACCGGAGGACTGCGCGCGAATTTCTTCAGGATCTCCTACGTCTTTAGCCTCTACAAAAACTCTAAAAAGAAGAAATAAACATTAAATTATGTTTTCAAGGAATATGTGCAGAGAATCTACACACAACCAACACGTTAAGGCGAATGCCAAAGGGATTAGCGATTAGGATTTAGGGTTTAGGGTTTAGGGTTTACGGTTTAGGGGTCAATATATAGCTGCGGGAGAAAAGTATAAGAGAAATAAAACAATATAGATAATGGCGTCACTATAATAATGCAATGCCTAAAAGGAGATAAGAGAAAAAAAGAAAAAGGAAAAGGGAAAGAAGAAGAGGAAGAAGTGGAAGAAGAAAACGAAAAAAGAAAGAAAAAAAGAGAAGTGGCGAAAGAAAAAGAAGAAAAGAATAAGAAAAAGAGGAAAGGAAAAAGGACTAAAAGAGGAAGGAAGAAGCAGAAGAAAAAAAAGAAAAGGAAATAAAGAGAGAAGAAGAATCAAAAGAAGGCGAAGAAGAAGGAGTAGACGAATAAGAAAAGAAAAACGAAAAAGGAAAAAGAAGAAAAAGAAAAAGACAAGCAAAACGAAAACAAAGAATAATAATAATAATAATAATAATAATAATAATAATAATAATAATAACACGAATTCGTCTATGGACACAAACAACAGGGACAATAATAAGAATAAGAAGAAGAACAAAAATAAGAAGAAAAACAATAAAACCCTTCTTTTCTTTTCTTTTCTTTTCTTTCTTTCCCTACCGTTTGTGAGTCCCTGAAGCTGCAGAGGCAATTCCTATGGGTGGCGTAATTCTTCCATTACTACCGACGAGTTGAACGCTGACGTCTTTGCTGAATATTGAGAAGAAGTTGATGATATTTCGTAATATTTTTCGGACATGTTTGTTCTTTAGAGAGTATAAGACAAGCAGACTCACCGCAGGTCTACTCCCGCCCCGTATGCAGGGAGAATCTCCAACATATAAGTAACAGTTTCCTTATTAACAGGAACACAAACTGCTACATCAGGTTTGCCTTCTTCAGGGGCAGCTTCGCACCATTCTTTATATTCTGCGTTTGTTAGTGAAAACAACGCCAACAGAAATACTGAAAAACACGCCGATATCTCAGCGATCTTCTTTATTTCGTGCATTCTTGCATTCTATATGAAGATATACCAACAAAATGCAAAATATAAACATCAAATTCGACGCCTTTTCAGAAAATATCGACATATTCAAGAATAAATTCAACTCTGCAATGGAGTGTATAGACACCTCGCGATGAATACAACATTTCCCTGGAGTATATTTCGAGAGAAAATATACAATAAAACCGTTTGATTAAAAGGGAATTAAAATGGTTTTCAATTATTTTTCTGAATTCACCAAAGAAAACAACGAATTCAAACTCGGAGAGATATTAAACCTGAGCTTTCCTCTTGCAGCAGATTATTAGGCTGGCGCTGCTTATTAAGATGTATACTTCTATACATTGTAATTATATCATATACGTATATTAAATATACCTTTTTGTGATAACTAAATGTAAGTATAGAATATTTGTAAACGTTTCTACAAATTTACAGTAGAAAACGTAACCCTAAATATATATA